TTTTTTTTTTTTTTTTTTGGGGCGAGGCGACTTCTCCACATGCTCAGCCGCGCCCACCAGCGGGCGAGGCTGCTGTGGCGGGCTGCTGCTGGTGTTGTTCGCTCGGCTCGTCTTTCCCTGACTCGAACCCTGGATCGCAGGAGCAGCGCAACGCAGCGCCGCACGGCACCGCACCGCACCCTGAAGACGGGAACGGGCGCGCAGCATTCATTCAAGCCTCGCGACCCGACGCTGCACCTCGAGCTTCTCGAGGCTCCTTGACGCCTTCCTTCCCCTCACCATCGTCTTGGCTCCTCTTCGCCCATCGTCGCGGCGTCGGTCCATCCGCTGACGACGCTGCTCATCATTCCCGTGACCAATCTTCGTTTCAAGTCTCGAATATCTCGCGTCCAAGCAACCGAGGTCACCGACGTCCTCGTCGTCTTGTCGATCGCTTCATTAAGCTCCAGGCGACCTTTGCTGCAGCTGCACCACGGTTTGAGCTTGAGCTAGAGTCTAGCATCCTCTGCTCACAACTTTTGCACCTGCCCCGCAACTCCAAGTCACCGGCATCTTCCCCCATTCGACCTTGCCGAGTGGAGCGACGCTCGGCATCCAGCAGGCGTGGCCATGGACGTTCTGCGCAAGGTCAGCGGCGCAAGCGCCCGCGCCGTGCCTGCTTCCAACGCAGGCACCACCACTGCCGGCGGCTCATCCAACAACGCCCCCGCGTCCACTGCCAGCACCGCTTCCGCTTCCAATTCGCTGCTCAGCGCCTCCCCCGCCCGCTCGCCGAGAAGCAGCATCTCGCGCGATTCGGTCAAGGACAAGGATGCCGCCTCCTCCCGCATGGCAAAGATGCGAGCCGCAATGCACATCGGCTCAGTGTATGATGACTGGGTAAGCACACCTTCCCGCTCTCACCTCTCCCCCTCGCTCCCCACACCCTCCATGCACCAGCCAACATGAAGACCTCACCGCTATGCGCCGTGATGCTGACCGCACAACGCTTCGTTCTTCGTCTCATCGCAAAGCCAATGTACTCGGCCAACGGTGACGACTACATTGTCGGAGACGTGATCGGCTTTGGTGCCTCGTCCGTCGTGCATCAGGGCGTCTTCAAGCCGCTCGACAGGGCGTGCGCCATCAAGGTCATCGATCTCGAGGCATACGGCCGCGACACAGAGGAGCTGCGCAGAGAGACGCAGCTCATGTCGCTCTCCAAGCATCCCAACGTGCTGCGCGTGCGAGGATGCTGGGTCAAGGGCGCCAAGCTGCACATCGCCACGCGCCTCATGAGCAGCGGCTCCATGCTCGACATCATGCGTTTTGCCCATCCGGAGGGCTTTGACGAGCTCGTCATCGCCACGGTCCTCAAGCATGCCCTCGAGGGCCTCAACTACCTCCACATCAACGGCTGGCTCCATCGCGACCTCAAAGCGGCTAATATTCTCGTGGACGACGACGGCACGGTGCTTCTCGGCGACTTTGGCGTGGGCGTCTTTGTCGGCGATACGGACAAGTCGTCCGGTTCGGTCTCGAGCGAAGGCAAGCGCAAGAGCTTCGTCGGAACGCCGTGCTGGATGGCACCCGAGGTGATCGAACGCAAGCACTACGGCACCAAGGCCGACATTTGGAGCTTCGGCATCACCGCGCTCGAGCTCGCGCAGGGGCGCGCACCCAACTCGAAGCTCAACCCGGTCAAGGTGCTCATGCGCACCATGCAGGACGAGCCGCCGCAGCTCGACCGCACGGGTGGCGCGCACAAGTACTCGAAGCTCATGGACGATTTCGTGCGCCAGTGCCTGCAGAAGGACCCGGAGAGGCGACCCACGGCGGACAAGCTGCTCTCGCACGGCTTCTTCAAGCAGGCCAAGGCGCCCAAGTTCCTCATCTCGGCCATCCTCGCCGGTCTGCCGCCACTGGCGGATCGGCAGGAGCGTCGCCGACTCGCCTCGATCCATTCGACGCAACACTACCTCTCTTGGGATTTTGGCACCATCAACAGCCGCACCGCCACGCCCAATCTCGAGCGCCTCGATCCGTTCCGCAATTTCACCGGTGTGGTCTCGCTTCCGTCGCCGCAGGGATCGGTGCGGTCCACCAAGCTGGTTTCGATCGACGGCCACCACGTGCTCGCCACCGAGGAGGACGACACGAGCCTCATGCGGCGATTCAGCAGCTACGACGACGCGCTCGCCAAGGAGGGCGCGATGCACGGCAGCTTCGGACGCCGTCGCGGCCGCTCGGTGGATGCGCTGGGCCATCGCAAGTCGGTTTCATTTGAGGGCCAGGACAGCGGCGGTGGTCGTGCGGGAGCCGAGACGGATTCGTTCGGCACCGCGGGCGTTGCGTCGTCGTTAGCGCCGATTGGCGAAAAGGTGTCGCCGATGGTGTCGCCCACACAGCAGCCAGCGGCTGCCGACGAGCCGACGAGCTTGCGGCTGAGCGCCGAGGACGCAGCGGCCGACGATCAAGAGGCGGATGCAGCCGCTCCGGAGCAGTCTGGCGAGAGGCAGGGCCTTGGAAGCGGTGAGGTGACGCTCAACGGATCGTCGCAGGGCCAGAGGTCGGTGTCTTCGGCCACCACGGCGACGCTGGTAGCCAGTCGCGGCGACGACAAGGACGAATCGAAAGAGGCTGCAACTGCCACTGCGCCGGCGCCCAACATGCTGCAGCGCACGGCGAGCCGGTTGCGAGGCAACGGCGGGGAGGCGGCATCGGGAGCACACCCCAAGCATCACAAGCGCGAGTCGGTGTTTGGCAAGCTTTTCAAAGGCGCCAGCTCCGGTCGCAAGGAAGGCAAAGTTTGAACCAGCACATACACAAAGGCATTCTGCATCAGCATCAGGCATCAGCATCGGAGACGCATGCAATTTTTCAGAGCATATACCCTAGCACATCGGTGATGGTGGTGGTGGTGATGAGTGCGGGCCAATACTCCACATGGCGGTGGACGGGAGCGGTGCGTGAAAATTTAAGACGCTTACGCACGGGCCGGAACAGGCGCGCCGGGAGGTGGGGGGGAAGAAATGAGGCCGATTACGGGCAGCTTTGTGGTACGCTGTGCACCACCAACTCGAAGCACTGGACCACGGCGAAGGCGTTCAAGATCCGTCATCTGGGCTTTTTTCTGTCGACTTCGAACCGAAGGCAAACGATTGCAAGGATGCGTGGGGCTTCGCTGGCGTCGAGTTTGGCGTTGCCGCTGACAACCGCGTTTGGGGGGGCGCAAACGTTGTGGTGGCCCAGTACGACCTCGTCCGCTCCGCGCGTCGTTCTACTCTTCATCCCCGGCAATCCGGGCTTGGCAACGTACTACATTGACTTTCTGCACGCGATCTACACCTCCAAGCACCTGACCGGGGCTGGAATCGAGATTGTGGCGGTTTCGCATCGCGGGCATGCACCGCTGCCCAAAGTGGGCACGAATGCGGTGTGGGGCGACAACGGGACGAATGCATCGCAAGCTGCTCGCGGGTGGGGAACCTCGCTTTCGGACCAGGTGCGACACAAGATCGGCGTGCTGGATGCGATCCAACGCCAGTATGCGCGCGAGGAGACCAAGGTGGTGGTGGTGGGACATAGTATTGGCGCCTGGATGGCTGGCGAGATTCTCAAAGCCCGACCCGATGCGGTGGATGGATTGCATCTGCTGTTCCCAACGATGGCCTGGATTGGACGCACGCCCAATGCGCGTCGGATCAAGCTGCTTGCCAACCGCGCGGTGACGGCAGCGGTGCTTCCGTTGCCGCTGCTGGTGCTTTCGCTACTGCCGCTGTGGGCACTGGTGTGGGTGATCAGGCTGCTGACACGACAGCCGAGCGCGGCAGCACTTGCAACGGCAGAGTTACTCACCACGCCCGGGGCGGTGTACAATGCGCTCACCATGGCAGGTCAAGAGTTCGCCACAGTGCAGGCGCTGGAAAAGCCGACGGTGGATGCGCTGCACGCCCTGACCGCCGAGCGAGGGGGCAGGATTCGAAGCTACTGGGCCGCGGACGAAACCGATGCCTGGGCACCTGGCTGGATCCGCTCGCAGGTCGAGTCCACACTCTCCCTCCAGCGCGTCCATCTTGCTCCCTCGCTCGGACTGGGCGGTGCAAAGAAGAGCGAGCCATCGCGCAGAGGCTCCCACGTGCGAACGCGAAGCTTCTCCGTGTCCGAATACCGCAGTTCGCCCGGATCGATTCCGGACCTGCGTCACGCCAAGGCAATACGCCGACCCAATGGCGAGATCGTCATCGAGGCCCAGGTGGTCGAGCCCAGCAGCGAAAGCGAGAGCGACGAACCTACGAGGGGCAACAGCGAGCGTGGCGCGCAGTACCATTATGGCCGCGCCAGGGCGACTGCAACGCACTGCAAGCTGGGCATGCCACACGCATTCTGCCTCAACCATTCGGAAGATATGGCGAGCATCGTTGCGCATTGGATTGCACATGACCACCTCTCCAACATCATTTAGCACCGACTGACCAGAGCAGGGGCAATGCCAGACAGAGCGTGGCAAAGTAGGGCTGGCGCGTGTGTGGGGTGTGGATGAGGATCGGGGTGAGGTGGCATGGGGTCCAAGCGCGTCTTTCTCGAGGCGAAAGCGAGGCGAGGCGTGCTTTATGCGACTTCTCTACGCGACTTGACTCGTTTTCGAAAAGAGCAGCAGCCAGACCAGCGCTCGGGTCGCAAAATTGGCGAACCCGCGCTTGGTCCAAGTCCCATCCGACGCGCAGACACTTTCGGGAGAAAGAGAGGGTGTGCGCAGTAATGTTGGACGGTTCACGTTTCGTTCTCTTCTTCTTTGCTTCTTCTCCTCCATGGCGCTGCTGTACTTTCCTTGTAGTCGCTATTCGGCTCACACACCCCCACGCACGCCACTTTGCATTTCACATCCTTCAATGCCATCGATCGCCGACCCGTCAGGCGCACATGAGGACGATGTGACCTTGGTGGACTCTGACGACAATGCGCTGGGACTCGGGTCGCCCGGCATGTCCGCACGCGACGATGCCGTCACCTCGGATGCGCTCGATGACGAATACGAGATCGAGCGCATTGTCAGCCACTCGAGCGAAGACACTGACGGACAGCTATCGTACTTTGTCAAGTGGAAGGGCTACCCCGACACCGAAAATACGTGGGTAGTCGAGAGCGACATGGGTGGAGCCCAGGAGATGATTTCAGAGTATTGGGCGGATCTGCCGGAGAGCGTCTTGCACAGAGCTAGGAGAGGCAAGAAGAAGCGACAGTCGATGACGCCGCAACCGTCCAAGCGCGCACGCCGCGAATCCTCGGTGCCGACGCGCCGCAACAAGCGCACCAACGGTCAGGTCGCTCGATCCGTCTCCCCCGACGATGAGGGGCTGGACGATGAAGATGCCCAGCTGGAACGCATCCGATCGGATCCATCGCTCGGCGATGAGCAACGCGCGTTGCTCGAGACGCAACATCTGCACGCCAAGCGATTGGAGCGTCTGCGCAAGCGCTATGCGCGAATCGCAGACTGGGACCCCATCGTACGCCGCATCGAGGGCGTCGAAAAGATGAGCGACAACAAGATCCGCGTCTTTATCCACTTTGACAACGGCGACAAGCTGGCGTTTGAAAGCACCGTCGCCCATCATCGCTGTCCGCTCAAGCTGCTCCAGTTTTACGAGGCCAATTTGAGGTTCCGCGAGCGCGATGCCACGCAGGAACCACCGCTGGTGGGCGAGGAGCCAACGAGCCAACTCGATCAGTACCTCCACCACGACCAAGCTCAAGCTCAAGACGACCAGCACGACCAGGAGGAGCAACAGGAGCAACAGGAGCAACAGGAGCAGCAGGAGCAGCAGGAGGAGGAGGAGGAGGCGGTGGCAGAAGCTGTCGACCAGCAAGATGAACACCAAGACGAGGTCGACGCCGTACCACCGAGTCAAGAGCCGCAGCAGCAAGACCCGTCACACACCCAAGAACAGCCTGTATCCTAAGCCGCCCTCCCTGTAGCCGCTGATTGTACCAATTCCACCTAGTTTGCTCGGCATCCTCTGGGCCGGCCGCATCTGGTTCGCATCGTGTCTTGAGCGCAGTGCCGATGCTTGTCTGGAATCCTGTCCGCGCTTCTTTGCACCCAACAAGCTCGTCCACTTGCACCTTGACGCCCGCCAAAAGGCAGCTGCAATCCCGCCCCGCTCCAACAAGAGCGACTAGCCCAGCCACACGCTCTCCATCCGAGAAGCCTCCCAGCAAACTTCAGCTCCCATCTTCATTCTTCCGCCCCCCAACCCCCCAACTTCATCTCCAGCTCAACCTTGGACACCCCGCCTCATCCGCAACCACCGCCTCCTCCATCTTGCACCACACTACACACACCCAGATCAACGAAACGAAAACTTGCAATTGCCACTGCATGCTCCAAACCAGACTGTGGGGCTCTCAAGCGGCGCGACCATCGTGCTGCGCCTGCTGGCTGTGAGGCACAGGCGGGAGCGGCGCCGGCACGTTCGCAGTCACCCCCGCCGACGCAGCCGCATTCACCGCAAAGCTCCACACCTTGATATCACCATCGTCGGACCCACTGACGATCTTGTCGTCCGTGAGCGACACGCACGTCACGGCGCCCTTGTGCCCCACGATCGTGTTCTGGCACAGGCCCGTGTCGCGGTCCCAGATCTTGATCGTGCGGTCGTGCGACGCCGACACGATGCGCAGCTTGTCCACGTCCAGCGACCACACGCCCTCCACGTGCCCGAACAGCGTGCGGATGCACCGCCCCGTGCGCACGTCCCACACCTTGAGCGTGTTGTCCAGCGAGCCCGAAATCAGCACCGGTCGCGGCTTGGCGTGGTGGCGCTCACCATTGGCGCCCGCACCGTTCGCCTCGCCGTCGCCCGCGCGGCCCGACTGGCCACCCGACTCGTCGCCCGACCGGTTGCCGCTGCCATTGCGAGCCCCGCGCATGCTCGGGTCCAGGTCACCCATCTCGGCGTCCAGCGGCAAAGGATCCACCAGACCAGCCTCGCACAGCCGCTCCTGCACGCGCAGCAGCGCCTTGTCGATGCGTCGGCGCTGCTGTCGCTGTTGTGACGACGACGACGCAGCAGCAGCCGTACTAGAGGACGACAGCGGCGACGGCCCCGTGGCGCCACGTCGAGCCGCGCCGTACAGCCGCTCGCCATTCTCGGCCGCATTCGACGGCCGACGCCCCGCTGCATTCCTGGCGCTGCCCGGGCCCACATCAGCAGCGCCCACCGCCGACGGCAGCCCGCCCGACAGCCGACGCGAATGCGACAGGCTCGCATCGCCGAGGAAGTACGACTCCTGGTCTTCGAGCGACAGCATGTCCTGGTCGCCATTCTCGACCGTGTCGGGCGCGTCGTCGCCGTCTCCGCTTCCGTGCACCGAGCCGCGACGAGACGCACCGTTGCGCTGAGCCTGGGGGCCCTCGGCGCCCACACCGCCAGCAGCGCCGCCGACGAGCTTGCGCACCGCCTCGTCGTCCATCATGACGAGC